AAAGCCCCAGTAGGATGAGGGGAACAAACCTAAACTCAGATCTGCAACTGCTGGCCCTCCCTGTCCCCCCCACAGGGGTGTTTTATTTGGCTCACAAAACAAAACCAAACAAAAGAACCTTTGTGGCTCACGCTGTTCACTACAACTCCTGCCGATGGCCTATGACGGCTGCTCTCCTCTAGCCGTCCTGCTGGCCCTGGTTCCGAGTGTTTGCCCTGTGACCTGTCACAACGCTTACAGGGGAAAGGGACGGAGACAGGAGTCATGGCAGCTGGGCCCAAGGCTTACTGCCCTCCTCACTGGGGAGTCAACCAATCTGGATGGAAAATATTCGTACAAAACACAACAAAAAACAGGAGGTGGGGTTGAGGCTCAGCGGTAGAGCACGCGTCTCACACGTGTGAGGTCCTGGGTTCGATCCTCAGCACCACATAAAAATAAATAAATAAAATAAAGGTATTGTGTCTAATTACCACTAGAAAATAGAATATAAAAATAACAAACAAACAATAACAATCAACAACAACAAAAGTCCTGCGTCTGTATTGAATGTGAACAGACTTTTTTCTCATTATCATTCCCAGATCAATACACTTTAACAACTATTTGAATGACATTAAGTATTATAAGCAATTTATAGATGCTTACATGGGAGGACGTGTAGGATGTATGAAAATATCGTGCCACTTTATGTAAGGGACTTGAGCACCCATGGATTTTGGTATCCTTGGGGGTCTTGGAACCACTCCCCTGCAGGTGTCAAGGGACAACTGTACTCTGCCTGAACATGGAAACTCAGGTCTACAAATGCCACATGAAATAGTCCTCCCGATAAGCCATCAAAGTTAAGCAGGACACCATGAGGCAAAAGGGAAATGTCTCCAGCACTGACTTACCTCTCCCAGGATGTTTACTTTAAATAAGTGACAAGTGCAGTCCATTTGGTTTAAATACCCAGCTACCAGACCACTCAAGTGTACAGATGATGAAGTAACTGGCAGAATTATTAAGGTTTCTTTGTTTTTCATGTGACTATTTTATACAAGTCAAAGGAATCTGCCGACAGTGGCGCAGCCTGGGTCGTGCTTGTTACTAATACGACTGCCAATTAATCCTGACATGGGTGCCCGGCGGGTTCCCCCAACCTGGTATTTTACCACCTCGGGGGGTCAGCACTTGGACATTTCCATGACATTTTATACTAATCAATCAACGTTCCTTTTTTCTTAAGGCAGAGCCTTTCATAGGAGTCAGACGAGCCATACCCAGGGCCACCCAGAGCTGCCTTAGATGTGCTGATAATAACGCATCGAGGCAGACTTCTGAAAATGTTTATCCTTATTTCTTCCCTTCTAAGGGCGAAATCTATCTCAAATGTTAAGACAGATATTCCAGGCCCCGAGAGTTTTCTCATATTATTGTATATTTTAAAACATTACAAGAGGGCGCCTCTCACGGGAAGTGAACTTTCGAGTTGCCAAAGATGCTCAACTGTCTTCAAATCTGTTAGCAACAGAGCCCGGGCTGGTCTCAGGCAGTCTATTTTGAGTCATGACATAGGTGGCTGTGACATACGCCATTCTAAGATATTTCTAGGACCTCCTGGAACATGGTAAGTCATTGGAAGACAGCAGGGCAGGCAGAGGAAGAGCCCCATGAGGCTCCTAGGAGCCCCGGGCTGGGCAAGAGCCCTAAATCAGCCACAGGACCATATTCTTGGGGTGAAGACCCTTCACACTCACCACTCTCATCCCCATGTACCCTGCTCCAATTCTCTGGCCTCAAATGATCCTTTTACATTCTTCGTATAAGTCACCCTACAAAAGGCCATCCAGCTACAAAACGTTTTTCTGGCAAATTTTCAGTCCTCCCTCCCAGACCAGAGGCATGAAGGAACCCGGAGTAAAGTGAGTTGGCACTGTCGTTGGCCCTGTGGCTGACCTTCAGGAAGAACCAGGGCACAGCTCTCGGGGTCCAGCTTCCCCCTCCCTCCTTTTCTATTCTCCGCTCCTTGCTTTCTGTTCCTAACTCAAAGACAGAGCCTTGGTTGTCCAAAGAGTCATAGAATAAGATAAAAGCACACTGGCCTTGGGACCATCCCATCAAAGAAATACTGGGATTTTGCTAAGCCACTAGCTTTTCTCTACCTTGGTCGCCCCATCTGTAAAAGGGAAAGATGCCTGCCACACTGGACTTTGGGGCCGCTGTAAGGAGTAAAGAGGAAAAAGCATTCAAAATGTTAGAAGAATAAAATACACGACCTATCTGTGCTCTCACCAGTATTCCCTGCACGCCTCAACACCCCATCCCTGAGCAGAGCACAGTATCCCAGCCAACTTGGTAGAGGGACTGCATGGCCAGATGACTCGGGATCAGGCATCCCATGGGACATTTTTAAAGGGCCATTCTGGAGTGTTCACCCTGCCTCAGTTAATCCTCTGGATTCTAGCAGCTGGCCACCCTCCTGCTCTGCAGACAGGAAGCTGAGGCCTGGGGAGGCTGGCACACTTGCTGGCCTGACATGAGCTTGGCTACAAAGCCCATGTCTCAGGAGTCAAGGTAAGGATCTGCAGGAGCCTGGAGACCTCCCTGGGAGCCAGATGATGCTTGGCCCATATGTATCACAGGGAAGAGAGGTGCAGCTGCCCTGACTCCTGGCCAGTCCTACTCCTCCATGCCCCCTCTGCCAAGAAGTTGAATGGCAGTCCTGGGATAAACACCAGGATTCAATTTTACTTTTGGTCCTCTATTTATGAAACAGAGTTCCTATCACTAACACAGGAAATAGAAAGGCACGGTTTCTTGGGAATAGAGCTCATGTGTTCCTCGATGTTGCCAGGGTAACCTGCCGTGGTACACACAGTCCTCTGGCAGGAAGGGGTGGCTGGGTAGATCTGTGTTGGAAGCAAAGCATGGGCTTGCATGTGTGGCCAAGGAGAGCTCTGTGCCATGGGAGTGCAAGTGATGGGGATAGACAGGGGCTGAGGACACATCCTGTGGCTGAGAGACTCTTCTCTGCTGATGGGGAGAAACAAGAATTTCAGGAAGTTTCCAATAGTGACTAATCCAAGATGTTCTCTGTTAACCTAGTCTGACCTTTCAAAAATCTGGACAAGATGTGTCACACCTACTATTCTGAGTTCAATGGGGAATGACTTTTTGTTCAAGTTTTTGCACACTCATCTCCATGTAGCTTCCAAAGCACAGAGGGACTTAATCAGCAGGCTGGAGGTGGCCTCTGCTGTCTCCCCTGTACACCTAGAAGTGTGCAGAAAAATGCTGGCTTTCCTGCAGCTGAAACTTGCCTTTCTTACTGGTCAGAAACTATCCCTAGCCCAACTGTTGTCACTTTATGATCCCAAGGTCCTATTCTTCATCTGGACACTTCTCTACCGACACCAGAATCTGAGCAGGCCCAAAGAGAATGAAGGATGACCTGTGAGGAAGCAGGCACGGAGCCCTGCCAGCTCTGAACAGATCTTGCTCCCTGCCTGATCCTAGAGCCACTTCTAGCTCGCTGGGCAGAAGTCACTTCCCTTCTCTGAAACTCAGGTTCCTGTTGCAGGATGGAGCAGTTTAGATGTCACAGGATTATTCCCCAAGCCACCTCCTAGCTCTGGTGTTCTGTGCATAGTGCTTTGGAGATGAAAAGGGCTCAGAAAATGCCTTAGAAATCTGAAGAGCTTCAGGTAGACCCAGGGCTGGGTGGTCCCCCGTCTGCCTTCTCCCGGGTTTTTGTGCGAGTGTCTCTGAGACTGTGTGTTGGGACAGGGATCTAGGAGAACCGAGGACAGAGACAAAGCTCAGATGAAGGGCATGAAGGAAGAAGAAGTGAGGAGAAACCAAAAGGAGTAGAACATCGTTCTCGACACTTTCTAGGGAACAAGGAGGCTGTGGGGCAAGATGGGATGGGGCAAAAGGGGGCTTCTGGCGAGAATGCAGTGGGGAAGGTGGGGATGGGGAGTGTACTTCAGGGACTGTGTGAGGTGACAGCACAGTGCTTCACACACAGGCTATGAAAATGTCCTTATCCTCAGCAAGGCAGGCAGCAGTCACCATGTGGTCACCCCTAACCAAAAAATACTAAAGGTCCAACCATGAAAAGAATGGATGCCCAGCTCGGCTTCCGTGGCCCACTAGCTCTGCAGACTTGAACAGAAGTGTCCCTTTTCTGGTGGTGTAAGCCCTTGTCCTCCAATGAAAGAACCAGGCTACAGACTCCTAGTAAGAGTGCTTCTCCCACAGCCTCCAGGAGGATGATCCTAAGAGGTGAGGTATGTGAGATTCCTTTGTGGACACACAAATAACTAATGTCTTGCCAAACAGCTGAATGCTCCTCACTAGGAACAATCAATAAAAGGCAGAATAAACCCTCTGCTTCTGACTACAGGTAGTTGTGGGTCTGCCCTTGTAGACCCAAAGAAGTTGCTAGGCCCTTCTGCACATGCAGGGTTTTGCAGGGCAGTACGTGGTTCCTCTTGCTGTTGAAGAACATTTGCTTTTGCTTCCTGAAGAAGCAGCCCATCCAGGACTCCACACTTGACCAGTGACACTGTCTCTGGCTAACTTTCAGAGACAGTCGCGCACCACATGTGATATGGAAATGCCCCCGATGGTGACAAACCCCAGAGTGCCTTTCATCTCAGTGTGCCGCTGCTCTATAGAGAACACAGAATCAGCATCATAAACAAAGTCAACCTAACTCCTTCACCAGCCTAACAAAACTTTAGGGACGCATCTGTACAGACCTCTCATTGTATAGGGCCAGATACAAAAGCCTTGAACAAAGCCACATACCCAGTAAATGCAGAGTCAGTCCCATGATCCATCTTTCTCTGTATGAGGTGTCATTATCTCTACGTTTAAAAACTCAATTTCAAGATTCACTTCTCAGGCAGCATTTGCCATCTCTTTTGTGCATTTTAGAAAATGAATCCATATGCCACCCTCCCCCCCTCCCAGAAGTGAATGCCAATAGGTATTCCAGAAGCAGTTCTCACCTGCAAATTTGCACAAGGCGGTAAAACATGCGTGGGGATTTCGTTCTCAGAGCCTGCTGGCCCCAGGGGCTTGTTCTTGACCCGATAGGCAGTGGTAGTGGTGGCAGTGGTGGTCTGTACTGGGAGGGCTGGCTGCCACACAGTCACATCGGAGCCATTGCCAAAGGCTTGAATTGCATTTTCTGCAGTAAAACAGGAGGAAATCCAATTTCAAAGTCAAGCAGCAAATGTAACAGGATACACACAGCCAGAGAAGCACACTAGAAATTCTGATTACGGCATTGAACTTCTCTGAACAAAACCCATCCATCCATCCACCCCATATGTACTAAGAGCCAGTCTTTGGGGTCAGGTGCTCAAAAATCAATTCAGCCATTAAACACTGAGTTGGACACTTAGCCACACTCCATGCGCAACAAATATTTATTGTGTTTCTATTTATGTGCCAGGTGCTGAGCAAGAGCTTTGCCCTGAAATACTCATCCCTCAAGCCCTTTGAAACCCAGACTCGGACCTGATACATTGGATCCTAACTGCCATTTTTTTTCCAAGAAAGTCCTTACACTTTGTCAAAATTCTATACTAAAAGCAAATTAATTAGTGCCTTTTTCTTTTAAGTACATTCCTAATCATGAGACTGAGGCAACTCAGAGGCAATTCAACTAATTTGGCAGGCAAAACGCAGCCAGTTTCTTTAAAAGAAAAATCTACCCCAAGCCTCATCAATATCTAGTGAAAATTTAAGTAAGATTATTTTTTTCCTTTCTGCTCCCAGTCTTCCAAACAAAATCTGCATAATTAGATAGGAGCAGCCCTGTTTAAATGAAAAGTTTAAAATGTAAAACTTTAAAAGCCTATTACAATTTCATGGGATTAGATTGTTTTTATGGCAAGAGTAAATTGGTTATGTGTTTTTCCCTCCCCAAGATGAATAAAAAACAGTTTTTAATCAGGTCTCCAGGGATTTGGCCTGGATTTAGGAATTTTTTTTTAATTTCATATTCATTGTATAAGAAATCAAACTCCTTCATTTGGGACCTGAATGTGCAAATTTTTAATCTACAACTCTTAGTTGGCATTTTTCTATACACAAGACAGAATAATTCAGGCCTAATCTTTCTCTTAGAAGTGACATTTTGTTCTAGAATTGTTATCCTTTAAGTTTGGCAAATTGGAAGCTTGTTTCCTACAACCTGACACTTTGGAAGGCTGTAAGAAACAGCTTCAAATTAATGTGTTTTTTTTTTTATGCTTCCAGCTATGCTATGGCTGAACGGGTGCACAGAACTTTGAGAAAGGGGTACGTAAGGACCAGTTTCCTTAAATGACCCCAGAACCACAACAAAAACCTATTTCTTGTTAAGATGCAAAGATTCAAGAGACTCCTGACCCATACTGAAGCTGCTGGTGCTTGGCCCAGCGTGCCTGCCCCGCCCAACCATGTCCCCATGTCGTGCTTGGCCCAGGGTGCCTGCCCTCCCTGCTCATTCATTCACCCAATGTTACTGGAATGTCTATCAAGTGCCAGGCCGGGCTCCACGTGCGAGGCACATGGATGTGAACAGCAGGAACAAAAGGTAGTAGTCCTCCCCCGACTGAATTTCTGGCTGTAAACCAGAAATACAGCAATAGAGTCAAGTTTGTAACAGAGATGGTGAGAAGGGCTTGGAGAAAATGTGAGTGAGGGGTGGGGGAGTGAGGAGCGCTGGGGTGAGAAGGGAAGTGGATATTTAAAGTAGTCCAGGGAGGCCTCCCAGAGAGGAAAGGAGGAGGAGGGAGGAGAGGAGGAGGAGGAGAAGAGGAAGTGGGAGGAGCAGGAGTGGGAGAGGTGGGGGAGAAGGATGTCTGAATAAAGTCTGGAGAGACCACCTGCCTCCCATTCTCCTCTCTTCCCCTTCCATGGGCCATGCACTTGACTTAAAAATAACTGTTTCCTTCTCCCAAACTAGAAGTAAACAATGGGTTGCAGTTGTGTTCCTGGCTGGGGAATTTGGGAGAGGTTTTGCTTAATCTGAAGATAGCAGAATTGGGTTTCTTCTTAAGGGTCACAATTGATAAATTTTAATTCCTTCTGGTTTAGGGCCTTATACAAAGACTGAATTCACAGTTCTCTGTCTTTGGTGCTCTGTGGCCCATCTAATCCAAGTATAAATGGAATGACTGAAAGATTCTGGCTGGCTTTGGCTCTCCTCGCTGCAGACCAAATGCATTTATTTTTATTGAAAAGTCATCAGCAATAAGATACCAGACTAGTCTACCTTTCACCAAAATGTTATTAAGCAGGGACAACTTTAATTTCTTTGTGGGGGAAAAGTTTTCCAGCCAGTGTGAATAAAATCTTTTCTCATGATGACTCTTGTCATTCCTTTGTCTTCGTTACACCTCACATCCACCAGAAGAGAGCAAGATGAGAGAGAGGCCTCCACGCTGGAACCGGATGCTGTGGGTCTGAATGTCACTGAAGAATCCAAAAGCTTCTCTTATTTTCAAAAGGACCAGATAAACTGATTCCAGCCACATTATTTGAACTACATTTTTGTGTGTGGGTGACTTATGCTTTTCTCTTCAATAAAGGAAAGGAGGAGGAGGATGTTTTAGATCAATGCTCAAAAGCTGTTTTGTAGTACATGGTAAATTGTTGGCTAATTCTTAAAAAAAAATCAGTCAAAATACAGCAGAGCATCATAGGGAAATTGTCCCTCTAGGACAAGGCTCTCAGCTGGATGTCTGAGCCTTGATTCCTAGAAATCTGACCCACCCCTCCCAGTAGGAAGACAGACCTGGACCCAAATGTACAGGGTTATGTTCTTGTCCAACAGTGCATGAACAAGGTTCTCAGGAGATAGGGGGCTGCACAAGAAACCAGGCCTTGGGTCCCAACTCTGTCACAGATGGTCTATGTGAATGCCAGGCTTTTACTCAGATGAAAGATGGATGGACAGATATAATAATTCCTACGCCTCCTAGGATGCTTGCGCAGAGTACAGAAAATGAGAGTGTGCATGAATTATACTCCCTGTAGCATTAATCTGAACACACAGAATGAATAAACAGTGGCTGTCACAAGAGTGAGTGCAATTTTCAAATATCTCAGCTGGATCATCACCCAGGGTGACTTAGGTGTACATGAGGGAGACCTGGCACTGTGCTTTTGGAGTTTGATGGATGCCCATGGTTCATATTCATTTCTCCATCCCTGTCCCTGTGGAGGACAAGCTTCCAAATTGCCTAAAGGACACTGCAATAATAACCAACTCTGCTTCCCAGCAGGAACCCCGCCCCTCCACCCACCAGCGCTTATCTGGTCTCCTGAGATCCCCGACATCGCTAGTCTCCTGAGCGCATCGCCAGCTTTCCCCACTCAAGATCTGCTGCTTCTCCTCTGAGCCAACCCTGAAAATCCGAGGGGCTATCGATGTCAACATTCTAATTTTTCCCAGAGAGTCCTTGGAGGCCTATCTCCATCCAATTTGTCTGAGCTTCTCACATTGTCTATTCCGCCCAGGTTTTCAGAACCTTGGGAACGGACTCTCAGCTGGCTGCCAAGATCAAAATTTGATCTGCGGCTAGAAGCGTTCTTTCCCACATAATGTGCAATCTCTTGATCTCTCGGGTTTTTGGATCCACAGTCTTGGCAGCACCCACTTCATCATCTACACGGTTCCCTGCTGCATGCATCATGCAGCATGTTCAAAAGGAGCTGGATTTACCATCAGCGACCAAGAAAAGGGACAGAGAGAGGGAGAGGGATGGACGGTGGTAGCAGACACAAGAAATAGAAGGTACAGCTCAAGCCTGGAGTGGGAAGAACTTGTGTGTGTTCACGTGCTTCTTATTTAAAACCAAAAAAGCAAAAAAAAAAAAAAAAAAAAGAACCCCCCCCCACACACACACACCAAAAAACAACAACTCACTAAGACAGGTATTGTCCTTGAAGAAGTTCAGAAATTTGGAGCACTCTTCCAGGTCATTCCCGCTGTTGCTGCAGTCACACCAGGGGGCCACACTAAGGCTACTGGAGTCTATGTAGTTGGGGGTCATGACTGTGCCTGAAAAAGTAAAAAAACAAGACATGTCATTTTCCTGTGATGATGTGGACTTTTCTGGAATTGAAAAAGAAGTAAGCGCTCCTCTGACAGAGAATGTGCCATGGATAATTACAAACGCGGTGTTTACTGAGTGGGAAATTATGTTAAGCAGTGAATTTTCTTGGCAATTTATTGTGAACACGTAAAATAGTTTACACATTTACTTAAAAAATTATAACAGAACTCCTTCAGCTGCATTTAGGGTATTTTTTTTCTCTCTGCACAAATGGTATGGATATTGTGGAGTTGCAGAGAATTAACTTGGAGTGCACGAGTTGCCAAATCCCCTGCGTTTTCTTGAAAATGTCATTAATCTTCATAAATAGATAGCACTTGGTGTGCGTATCTTAAAGATCCTTTTAGGGCTTTGAATCCACTTCCCTCAGAAGCAAATGGCTTCTGCAGCGTAACCCACAGGAGCTCAGAAGCCTCCAGCAGGCTCTGCTGCATCCCGGATGAACACAAATGTAGGTAGCAAGCCTCCCGCTCGCCAGATTCTCCACTGACTTACAGTCTTCCAAGTTGTGAAAGAATTGGAAACAAACAATGTACATTCTCTGAGCCCAGGGCTCCCAGAGTATTGTCTAATGTAAGAGAAATGCTGGGTGGTCCCTCCTGCTACATCTTGTGGGATTCACAACTTTCTGGTGAGGTTTCCATCAGCACAAATACACAATGCATTTGTATTTAATACAACCCAAATGTCTTCCCCTGGGTGGCTCACACCAGGCAATGCCCGCAGAGGCCAAGATGCTTTCTGCTTTTAGTTATTTTCAAGGAAGTACGAAGTCATAGGTGGTCAGTCATCCTCAGGATGGATCTGGTTCACAAACAGAAAAACAATTTTTAAAGCTCCTTGCGGTCAAGGGCATATTGTCTTGGCCCTGCATTCCTTGCTGACTCAGATTCAGTAAGACCCATGGTCCCTTAGCAGGAGGACTTAGCGTATAGCATGAAAGGGGTTCTAACTCCTCTGAGAAAACAACAGGCAACCCACATGCTGAGTGAGGGGGTTAAGGTCATTGCATGTCTGGGGCCCTAGTGGACCCGTGACTCATGGAGAAGCAGGAACAAGCTTTGGGTGGAAAGAGATTAGGATCCAATGTCCCAGAAACCCGCGTGGAAGGAGACATCCAGATCAGACAGAGAAATAATTTGGTCTGTAGAACACACTGCCTCTACCACTTGCTCCTCCATTTCATCCTCCTCAGGCTTGCATGGGGTTGCCAGGCCCAAGGATGATCTCACAGAGGTGTTGGCAGCACCCAGTCTCGGCCACTTGTGGCAGTCAATGAGCGTGTCCTCCTGGAAGGACACAAACTGATGTGTTAACAGCAATCTCATCTGGGAGAGAGGCTGTGGAATTTCCCATTGTATTCTGTTGGCTTCTCTGGTTTTGGTTTTCTTATAAATTTTTTCTTTAACAAATGAGTATATGTTAATTACTTTTGTATTTTCTCTTCTTATTTGTATAATTCCATATTTGGTAAGTAATCTCTAGTAGAGACTAACTTTATTAAGAAAAAGGAGAAAGTGAATCCAAGCTGGAGTACTGGCTTAAGGAAGGCCGGACCAAGAACAATGTGACTAATTGGCGAAGTAACGCCAAGGGAGTGTGGGTCCCCTTCAAAAGGTTGGGGTGACCAATGTGTCCAAAAGCAAGACATCTTACATTCAATTCCAACCCTGATTCTCCCAAACTCTCCTGCCAAAGACAATACTGACAAGGGGTTTGGTCTGTGCTCTCATTCTGGGTGGGAGATTCTTCTTGCTGGTGACGCATGTGACCCCGACACAGATGCCTGGCAGGAACATACACCCTGGCTGAGCCATCGCGCTCTGACAACTGTGATTTCTCTCACCCTTCCCGGCCTTCACTGTGTGTTCCTTCTCAAATGCCAGGCACAGCGGAGCCCTGACACCGAGGCTTCTGCTGTCCCTGGGGCCTGGGACTCTGGCCTTTCCTCTTGCTGGTCCCATTTATCCTGGGGCACAAGTTTGCCCATTTCTCTTCCAACACCCGCTGCCTTATTTAATTGCACTGTTCTCTTCGATGCTGGGAGAACATAGTCCTCCTAAAGCCTTTGGTCTTAAAAGACAGAGAGTACTGCTTATGCCATGAATAGTGTCATCAAGGGGGAAATATTGGCCTCAACGATGCCCCGCACACCAGGAGCTGAACACCAAGAACACTGATGGCAAGAAGCACCCCGATATTTAGGGATTTTATTTCCAATGGGCCATTTCTGAGAGACAGCTTTCCTGATTTTCCATATGGACTGGCTGCCTATTCCTTCTCTCCAGAGCTCCCTGGCTCTGTGGACTATGTTGGCCTTGCCCTCCTCTCCCCAGCCAGGCTTTCCTCTGACTGTTTGTCCTGTGTGGTCACTTCCCCAATCGAGTCACTTCCCTTGCCTTTGTGCTTGGTGAGTCCCAAAGGCCTGTTGTCAGAACCCAGCACAGAGGGCTCCTGGGAGATTTTCACCCACACAGACACCATCAGGCTACAGTGGAAAGGGTGTGGGTATTGTGGAGCCGGCTCTCCTCCCATGCCTCCCCCGCCCCTCTTACCAATCAGCCCCGAGTAGGCCAGGAGGCAGTCGGCGAAGTTCTCCTTCAGACAGCTGCTGACAGACCTTGACTCCGGCTGGCAGTTGGTAAAAAAGTCTGCAAGGCGAGATCTACGATAGACAGAAATGCAAAAATGTGCTTTTAAACATCCTAAGTCCCTGGGCTGGGAAGGGGTATTGCAGAGAGGGTGGTTAACAGGAGGGGGGAGGAAAAATAGTTGCTAATGTTTTAGCACAGGAGTATGACAATGGTTGACCACAACTGATTGTGTATTTCAAAATAGCTAGTCCTAGAGAGGGTTTTAAACATTCTTCACACAAAGCAATAATACATGTTTGAGGTGATAGATGTGTCCACTAATCTGGTCTGATCATTACACATTGGATACATTTATTGAAATATCACACTGAATCCCATAAATATGTACAATATGTATCAATTACAATATGTGTCAATTACATGAAAAAATACATATATTAAGGGGCTTGGGCGGTAGCTCAGCGGTACACTGCTTGCCTAGCATGTGTGAGGCACTGGGTTCCATCCCTAAAATGGTAAAAAATAATATAGGTGTGTGTGTATGTATATATGTATACATATATATACACATGCATAATATGTTAACATATATAATGTATATATTGAGAAAGATTCCTACACACATGTGTATCTATGTATATGTGTATGTGTATGTATATATGAACAATCCTAAGACTAATTTAATAATTCTCCTTGATTCCTTTGTTGAGAAGCCTCTCTACACACACACACACACACACACACACACACACACACAGAGAGAAAACATGAACTATTAAAACACTGGCATCTTTTCTACACAACTTCCCTCCCCTCCCCCAACCCTCATCCACCTGTGTGTATCTGCTTATTTGGAGAGAAGTCTTCAGGGCCTATAACTGGAGAATCCAGAGGCTTTGAAGTTTCCATTCAATATTTATTTCTGACTAGACTTATTTGCATCTTTAGGAAATGTGCTTCTCTACACACTCACCGGAGATCCACAGTGGGAAAATATTTACTTTATACAGAAACATGTTCCTGGCATCAAAATAGGATCCTACAGCCCATCTGCTCCCATAATTCCTCCTGGCTTCAAGAATGCATGTGTCTCGTAAGTCCTCCCTGGGCCCAGGGCATAGTGATTTATCCCGGCCCAGTGGCACCGAGAAGCTCGCCTTGGGGAACTGAAGTGAAGGACAAGAGGGCAGTGAGGCTCGCTGGGGTGTTTGGAGGCTGTGTCTGCACTTTGGGAACTGTCCAGGGGCTGGCGCAGTCCACCAGAAGCCCTGGGTGGCAGGGAAGTTGCAGGGTTCCAGAAGTGGAGAGAAGTCACGGACCCACGAGCCTGGGGAGGAAGAGGGCTCTTTTTGGCCAGTTGGCCATGTCTCAGTCTGAAGAGGGTATTGTTGGAGAAATCCTGAATGAGAACTGGGCCACCTCTGAGGTCATCTCAGCAGACAGCAGTTCTGTTTCTATGGGAGGACACAATGGACTTCAGGAGAATTTAAATTACCTGGCAATTACGGGAGACAATGGGAGGCTGACTGGGTTTTCTTGTCTTCAGCTCACCGAGCTGGCTACCCACATACTGTGCTGTTTTTACTATTTTCAACCCAAGAAGCCCCATCTGCCCGGCATACTCAGACTCTATGACACCAAAACGCTTGGGTTGGTGGGGCTCAGCAGGGCAGGGTGTATGGAGAATCATAAGGGTTTGCACAGACCTGTAGGAAGCATATTTATGCCCCTTTTCTACAATTTCACCTAAAAGTGGTACTCAAAGGCCTGAGGACTGGTCCAAGCTCACAGAACACACAGTGAAGGCCGGGAAGGGTGACCCCATGGTGTTCCTGTAGTTCTCTTTTGCAAGAGACCTTATCTGCACCAATCTGGGGAGCTCTGTGTGTTCTGGGTACCTAGCCCATCACAGTGAGTCTCTGCGGCAGGTTCTAGAGGCCTGCTTCATTTTCTTCGCATGGTGGCTGACACTTCTTAGGCCTTTTATAAAGATTCCTGATCAGGGCCATGCGCTGAAGCTAAGTGGCTTGGCAAAATCCTCCCAATGAGGCTCACCTGTGAGCGGAGGGTTTGCCTGGATCTTAACCACAGCCTGTCTTGCTGGTGTTTTCTGCCTTTAACTGAACACACTGAAGGATACAAAACCTGTCTATTTTCTTTTGCCTGGTTAAAGGATTTGTTTTTCAGAGGAAATCCCTAAAGATGGCTCAGGCTTACTCAGCTGGCTCCAATGGCATCCAGCTTGGATTGAGTATTAATTTGAGAAGAATTTTTCTGGTCATGAAAGTTAATGATCTAGGGGTGTTGGGCTCCTAACACTGCAAAGGCCAACGCAGTCCAGGCAGCTGGGGCTCCAGTTCTGCACACAAGCTGGCCACTGAATAGCTCTCTGACCCGGCAGCCCCTCGTTCCTGGTCTGTCCCTTGGAGACACAGTTCCTGTTTCTCAGAGTCTCTCAAGCAGACTATTAAACGAACAACAGTGTGATGCGGATTACTGTCCTTGGGCGCAGGGCTAATGCCACCAGACTCATTTGGTTTAACAACCTCAGAATTGACTCACAATTGGACTCCAGAATGAAAGGCTAATTGAGTCAGTCTGTTGCAGAAAGCAGAGGCCCAATGGGGAGGATACCGTGAAATACAGAGCTCTGAGCAGAACCCCAGACGGCTGCATTTTAGGAGGAGAGGGCAGGCATGGATCCCAACCGCAAGGATACAGCCATCGAATGGGAAGAGAGGGAGCACCGGGAGGGAGGGAGCTCTGCTAGGACACCCACACTTGCAGGATTCTAGCACATTTGGCCTGCCTCCCCGGGTATTTACACTTGGAGACATGGTGATCGCATTATGGGATTCCCATTTTACAGGAGGAAAAACTGAAGTAAGACGCTTGCATGGTGGTGTGCTGGAGCCAGCTCATGACTGGCTAGTGGGTCAATTTTGAAAAATTTTGCAAGTTGGTTGACATCACAGTGGGGCTTGCAAGTACCATGGCTGGCGTGACTTTTACACACTGGCAATCAGGAAATGCTCCAAAGCAGGGATTTGTGGCGTTCTCTGGGAACACATTGTTAACTGTCAACTGGCACAATCCTGTTGAAGAGCCCCGCGTGACATAGTCAATCCTGTGAGTAAAGCATGTGTCAGGTGTCGGGTGTTGAGTCCCAGCCCTTCTGGGACAGGTTTCTCCTATTGCCATGGTGCTGAATGAAAGGGTGTGGTACAGTGAGCGTCCAGACTTTGGTGCTTTCCAAAGAACAAAAACAGTGACCCCAGCCCCCAGGGTTCTTCCGTCCCAGCACCTCCCCCACCAGTCCTCCTACAGTAAGTACAGTGCAAAGGGTTCCACGTTTTGACAAAGCATCTGGGTTCTCCTGTCCCAGTGACTGAATGATGTGTTAAGTGCTTGTAATATAATGATGGAAAAGGCCCTGAACCTGGACTTAAATAACCAGCAGGCCAGGTGCCAACAGAAACAAGAACAGGATTAAAATAGTACAGTGGCTAGTTCCTGATAAAAGGTAAGGAAGGCTGCTAATATAAAGAAGACCAAATAAGAGGGAAGAATTCAGTAGCTGTTAGGTAGCTTTTATAAACCTTATATTTCTTTCTTGACAATCTAATGAGGTGCAGTACTATTATTTTATTATCCTAATTGTACATCCAAGTAAACCAAGGCTTAGAAAGGCTAGACTAGAGGAAAACAAAGGAGTAGATCGAGGATTTAGAGCCCCACATTCTGACTCCACCACTTAAGCTCCCAACGCTCCACAGCTACAGAAGGTGATTTCAGCAAGGCTGTGATCTGGGGACTAAGCCAGGAAAGATGGAGAGGATTTGTCAGGCAAAGGTGGAGGAGGGTGCTGCAGGCAGAAGGAAGTATCGTAGGATAAAGTAATCATCTAAAATAATCCCAGGTCACAATAATGGAGTGTCTGTGTGTGCCAGGCACAGCCTGAAGTTTCTGACCTGTATGCACACATCCAGCCCTCATGACACCCTTGTTAGGTGATGTTATCCGCCCCATTGTACAGATGAGAAAGCTGAGGCCCAAAAAGAGTAAGTGACTGTCTCCAGGTTGTAGAGCTTGGCAGGGGAGCTGGAATGTGGCCACGTTCCATCTGACTCAAGTTGGAGATCATTCTTCACCACTACACTCACCACGTGCCTCATCAAAAGTCCTGCTAGTCATTCCCCAAGGATGGCCAGGGCAAGGGATGCAAATGAAGACTGATGGGAGATGATGCCCAGCAAATCCTTGAATGACCTAAGAGTTTCGATTTTGTCCCAAAGGCAGTGGGAGCCACTGAAGGATTTAGAACCCAGAAGTAGCATGATCAGATTTGCATATTAGGAAGACTTGGATCTCTGGATTATTCAGCAAAGACTTGATAAGGACCTGCTCTGTGCCTTCACTGCTGGAGCAGCCAGGGGACAGCAGGAAATGGCGGGAGGCAGGAGGACAGTATCCTAGGAGACTATAGTCAGGAACCAGAGCAAAGCATGGAGGGCCAGAGGGAAGGAAGACAGGAGGATGTGTCAAATGGAGGGATCTGCAGATGGGGCTGCAGGAAGGAGCTGGCGGAGAACCAGGTTGTGTACAACTCAGCAGACAGCTTTGTTGTGGCAGAAAGATGGAGGATGAGTTTGCAGGGAAGATGGCGGGGCTGGTTGAAGCTGTGTGGAGTGCATGGCACCCTGGGGACCCAGGAGTCTAAAGGGTTGTTAGAGCTCTGGCTCCTGCATCTGCCCAGTTGCCAACCACTACCTGAGCACCTACTGTATGCACAGCCCCCACTGCCCAGGCCAGGCCCTCAGGCACTCACTCCCCCCCTCCCCCCCTGGCTTATGAATCATGCTGTAATTGGTTTCAGTAGCTACCCTGCCTGGGCTGCCGGGATCCAAACAAGGAAGCTTAAACGTCCAGCATGGGATTAACAAAGAAACTCCACAATTGGATTTCTTCTGGAGACACGAGATCTCCATGACTACAGCAGTGATGAGCTCTGATTGTTTTTCTCTGAGAAAATGAAAAGGAAATGAATAGGCACTAATGTAGAAATGTATCA